GGAAGGTTGGGAGGTTCGTGTCCAGTTGTATCATGCACCCCCCAACCGAGCTCAGATAGCCCTCGTCCCAGAGAATCGCCCCCCGCGTGTTTAGAGAGACAGGCCCTATATCCCGCATCCTTTCATATGGGTCTCCAATTACACTCGTCGTCCCGTGTCGAGGCTCGAACACCCATGATCGTGATCTTACCCTCGCTAGACGGCTAGCCCACAACCTATTAGCATATCTTGGGATCGACTGCGATATTCTTTTCGATACAGAGGCCACTCGGCACCCTAATTGGTCGTCGAGTTCGGGAAGTCGCGCTGTGGTCGTTTTTGGCGGACCATTTGAAAACAAGTACGCCAAAGCACAGCTGGAGATTGACAGTCCTATCGAATTCGACTCTCATTATCCTGGATGTTTTAAAATACACCATAAGAAGTTCAGTACCGCAGGAACTGGTAAGTCTGACGCCCTATGCTACTGGATGAATTTCAAACCAAATAATCCACGGCACACAGGCCTTTTGTTCATGTGGGGTACTCATCTGTACATCTGTGGCGTGGACACAGAAGGGTATGAACGAGCCATGCGGGCGTTCCCTCTTCGCACAGGGGTTGCAAATCCAGAATGGCTAGTGGTAGGAGCAGATGCAGATAAATGGTCCACCGGGGGCATTCTTGGCGCTGGGTACGACATATCCTCATCAACGTGGACCGGGCTGACTCTTCACCTATATAGTTTCTGGGACTACAACGGAAAGTACAGCAATGAAATGTCATGGCTGGGATGAGAAGGAGTGCAATCACCCTAAGTCCTCTCGCCCATGGGAAGGGCAATGAAACCAAATTCAAGACAGACCCGAGGACCATGAACCACAGGCCGAACCAGCGAAGAAGACCTTTTTCTGGATTAGTTTCGTCCCATTCGTCACCAACAATTTCATCCATCAACTCCTTGACTGCAGCAGATGTTTCGCAAGGGTGTATGTACCAACATGGCGCTCCCGTGGTAGGGTGATCCCCCCGGGTCAATAAAGGGAATGGTACAGAATCCTCTCCTATTTGCGGTAGCAATATGGACTGAGATGGCGAAGTGCATGCATTTGGAATCGAAACGGTATGTCGCATGAAGGACGTTTGCACCAGATCCAAGAGCGATAGCGGCGTACCATCTACATCACGCACCTGTTAGAAAGACAGTGAGGTTGTTATGTGCTTGACCTGCAAGTACCTGCATAGTAAGCATTGAAATAGAACGAAGGCACACGAAATGTATTGGAGAACACGACGTATTGATCGATTGAGATCTGGGATGAAGATCCCATCATGGGTATCGTCGCACGATCTTCGAAGTCTTCCACACCCCCATTGTCGAGCTCAGATGACGATGGTTCAGTATTGCCTCGATCCTGAAAAGACACAGTCCGATACAGATAACCAAAACCCGAATATTTCTAGGAATAGCAGCACGCCAATGATTGAGATCTAAGAGTAGTGAAGTGGCTGTTCCGCACGCACACTATGTTCTTTCCACATCCAGTTCAAAGGTAAATAACTCAGGCTTCCATTCACCCCAGATATATCAAGCTCAACGAGGCTCCGGCACGCAGCATCAAATTGTTCTCGCGTCAAAGTAGCTGGGCTACGCATGGGTCGACTTCGGCGTGGTCCGGGGCGTGCCGGCGTTGACTATACAGGCCACATTTGCCTCCGGTCAACTCCTCATCCTATCTAAAAAATGTCTAAACGCGGTACGTACAGTGTTGCACACATGCCTCTCAGGTGGAAGGCCTTCCTACATATCGATCTCATACCCTTCGCTGCTAGGGGCTGGCGCGGCTGGCAGTAAATTTAGACTGACCCTGGGTCTCCCAGTCGGTGCAGTCCTTAACTGTGCAGACAACTCGGGTGCAAAGTCTTTGTTCGTCATTGAACCTTTTGGATTTGGGGCCCGCCTCAATCGTCTTCCCGATGCTGGTGTGGGTGACATGGTCGTCGCCTCGGTAAAGAAAGGAAAACCCGAACTCCGCAAGAAAAGTATGCTGTGCTATCATTCAGATGTTCCTGCTCCTCAGACTCATCCCCATCCTCACAGCTATGCCTGCGATTATCATCCGGCAACGCAAAGCGTGGCGAAGACGAGATGGTGTCTTCCTGTATTTTGAGGTACTTTCGTAACCTACTTGGGATTTGCCTTGTGCTCATCCTACTCCGCATCTTTATAGGACAATGCAGGAGTCATCGTCAATCCGAAGGGAGAGATGAAGGGGTCAGCCATCACTGGGCCTGTAGCCAAAGAATGCGTAAGTGTCTTTTGGAATGGTCGACCGTTACTGGGTTTCCCAAACTTACTCTCTGTTCCGTGTAGGCCGATCTATGGCCTCGTATCGCTGCCAATGCAGGCACCGTGGTTTGAGGATTGGCTTGTTCTTACCCCTGTTTTCCCATCATTGCATTAAATACCAGAGGTCTGGACCCAAAACTTATGCGCGAACTCTGTGGCACCGAATACGAGTCCCTTATTTGTCGAACGCCTCCGCAGCTGAGATACTAATTACTCCCTGAAACATTGCGTCTGCATCTTGTACAAGATCGTAGATATTACCACCCTCTGAGTCGGTCCTGAGGACTCGAACTCCCTGTAAGATTAATGAAAAGTTGTATGATTGGTCGTCCGTAGTCACGAGACGATTAGAGCATGGAACTTGGCCTCGAGCGGGCCTCCGCATTGTTTGGGTTGCTCAGCTACACACGTCCAACCATCCATGTCGCGGGGACCAATGGCAAAGGGAGCGTGACAACCTTAATCGAGCACGTCCTCATTGCCAGCGGTCTCTCGATCGGAAAATTCACCAGCCCTCATTTCATTGATGTACACGATTGTATTTCTATCAATGGGGTTCCCCTGTCGCCGACGATATACGCCAAGCACCAAGACAGAGTGAAAAGATTCTCAGATGATCACCAGATTGGTGCAACCAATTTCGAGCTACTGACAGCCTGTGCCCTTTCTGCGTTCGAGGATGCCGCTGTACAGGTGGTTGTGCTCGAAGTCGGTATGGGTGGACGACTCGATGCCACAAACGCATTGCCAGACGAACGGATGCTCATCTCGGCCATCGCTTCCATCAGCCTTGATCACCAAACGTTTCTTGGGTCTTCTATCTCAGAGATCGCCCATGAAAAAGCAGGGATCATCCGGCAAGGCGGCATTGTGGTCCTTGGAGATCAAACCCCAATGAGTGAAGAGGATGTACTTCGGTCTGTAGCTGCCAGTGCTACTGAACGGGACGCACGGTTGGTCCGTTCTCGACCCTTGGTTGTCAGGCCATGGCTAGATGAATTTGATGGAACAAAGCTGCCTTGGGATATTGAGAACATCGACGAACAACCATCTCTGCACCACCCTATCATGATATCTTCCTTCAACGATGATGGTACAGGAAAGACACTACCAGGTCGTCTGCGTCTCGCCGGCGAGCATCAGCTCTCTAATGCAGGCCTCGCTTACACCGTCTTAGCGACTCTACGTGCCTCGAAACCGTCTCTTTTCGGGCACCTCACTGATCAACATGTCGTCGATGGCTTCTCTAACGCCCGTTGGCCTGGGAGACTCTCGTGGATAACAGTTTCTCTCCCTCTTTCTCGTTTTCGAGAATACCCCGTCGATTGCGAAGCCGTATCTCCCTCCCAGCGTCTTTCCCTCCTGGTCGACGGGGCACATAACGCCGGATCGGCCCAGGCACTGTCCGCATATCTCTCCACGCTCCCAATGTTCAATGAGCCTCCTCGCACATTTATTCTCGCGCTCTCTTTCTCGCCTCCGAAACGGCCCGTGGACGTGCTTGGGGAGCTCTTACGCCCCCGGGATCGTGTCGCCCTGGTCCAGTTCGGGCCTGTGGAGGGGATGCCATGGGTGTCCAACGTCCCGCACGATGAAATGAAGCGAGTCGCACGCAATCTCATTGGTCCATCCGGTGAGATATGGGAGGCACCGGATGCGGATGTCAGCGCTATGGAACAGAGTCGCGTTCTACACGATGCTTTGCAGTGGGCAAGAAGCAAGGGGAGCTTCGGGATCCTTGCTGGGAGTCTATATCTCGTTAGCGATCTCTACCGACTTCTAAGAACTTGCGAGTGATCACTTGTTTACCGGCATTATTGCTAACTTTATACATTTTCCCCTCTTGTATGGTCCGTATTCCAGGGGAGTTCCCCTTGGCTTGCCGAGGTCCCCCCAGAAGTGTGGTTTTTTTCGTTCTCGAAACATGACCAAAAGTGCCAAAAAACCGGTCTCGGAGCTCCGAGCTGTTAAATCAAGCCCAAACCAGCCGAAGGAAATTCCTCCGGAGACAAGTAAGTGAACTCTAGCCAGCCTCCGAGTCACCAAGCGGATACAAGATCGCGTCTCAAAGAGGAAGTGCCTTTGTGTGAATGCAGCAAGAAGAAGTGATTTTTGTGCCGATTTCACGGTGATAGTTTTGGTCATCCCAAACCCGAAAGAGTTTACGATTCTACCGAACCCCGAAGCAGATGACTCTTCTGTAACAGGATCCAAGAGAGAGTTGGGATTGTGGACGGAGGAATATGTGCTCCATGATATTGTAAGAGAGCGCAGGGATGGGATACAATGCCAGCTTAGGGTATACAGGGCATCAATGGAGGTGACAGGTCGTCGACATCCAGAGTCATAATTGTTGAAAACGGCTAGCTTCCTTAAAGGCCATAGGCGGTGGCATACGAGATGTAGACGTCACTGGCTCCCCTGAGGAGGTTCTACACGGTTTTACCGAGTCTTCAGAATTTTATCTATTTCCGTGGGGTAAAAGGGTCTTGAAATGCAGGTGGTCTCCGGGGTCTCCCAGAGCTAACCGGGGTCCCATAATTCTGCTCGCAATGAACCCCCATCACCGATTCCTCAGTCAGGGCTTCATGGTCAAACAATGATCATAGGAGAATAGGGGGTAAATGAGGCGAAAGAGGTGAAAGATGCAACTTTGAGAACCTAAGAAATGGCCCCTTTGGCCCAATGGTTAAGGTGTCTCCTTCCTAAGGAGAAGATTCCTGGTTCAAACCCAGGGAGGGGCTTTTAATGCGTAAATGCGCAACGCCGGGCTGCGTGCCAATATCACACTGTCTGAGCACGACGTCCCTTGAACTCTTTTTTGGTTTGAATATCAATTGCTTGGTTACTGTATCTCTCATGATGCGTGGTTGTCGGAAATCACTTCAGTGGCTGATTGCGTAGGCGCTCAGATGTGTAGTTCCGGTTTACTCCTATTACCCACCACTAATGAAATGCAAGATATAACCGTTGCTCTGCAAAGCGAGAGACGTTGAAGGTCTCTCTTAAATCCAAATCAGCTTTTGAAAGGCGCGGGTGGGTCGAGCAATCCTTTGCGTCAACCCTGCCCTCTATGAGACTCAGCCCACACATGTGGGACCATGTCTTGTCCAATCCTGTTCCTCTATGTCATTGTAAGTCATCAGGTCTTGGATGTGTATTTAGTGAGGCCTGGGAACAAGATTATGTCTTCCTAGCGAGATACCGTGGTCAGTCCGGACGACTGTGATGTTCCGACTCCGGCGTCTTGGAAAGAAGATTAATTGTCAACCAGGAAGGAAATTCAGGATCTAGGTAATCTACTTTTGTAAGTTCCGAAAGAGGCACTTCAAAGTCGAGCCATGCCATGTAAGGAAAATAATAAGCCGCGTGATCGTTGTCTCCGCGTCGAATATAAAAGCAGACAGTGTCTTGCGACAGGGATACATAATTAAACGATGGTGGCACAGCGCATAGCAGGACATGTAAAGCAATCTAGACAACAAAGAAGGTTTACACATGAGCGAAAGTACCGCGCAATCACCGACCCGAGGCGGGGATAGGGGGGTGCGACGGTCCAGAATGGTTGGCAACTGCAAAAGAACCAACCCCTGATGAGCGGACCGTTCCGGTCACAATTTCACAAATAAATCCGACACACATAGCTATCATGTTCAAGGTCGAAAGGCTCTCGCATTAAACTTTCGAGTTCTAGAGACAGGTGGACGATTAGAGCTGAGAACGCGGAAGCACGGGTGGAAAAGGTGTTACCGCGTTTCATTTGTTCCTCATCCAGCTCCTTGGGAACTTCGTAACTTCGTCCACGGGTCGGCTTACGAGATTCTGACCTGCGGAGCGCGTTAGTAACAACCTAATGGAGACGTGAGAAATATACGCACAGGACCTTCCCATTCGCCACAGGAGATGAGTTGGACCTTTGGGGATTCTAGACCAGTCCTCTCGTGTTCAGCAACGCGAAACCCCTCAGAGGAAATGGGAGGACTACCGTACCTTTCCTGTGCCCTGAAGCAAGGTAGCTACTTGCTGGTTAAATCTAGTCTCTTCTGCATCAAGGTGAGCGTCCAATCCACTTGCATTCGTAGCACCCGAGTCACTCTAGAATGACATATGCGTAGCACTGGGTTAAAAGGAAGGGAGAAGTGAGAGTGGGTATGAAAAAGGCTTACCGAGCGGGGGGCGTCGGGAGAAACGGGCGAAGGGTCTGCAGTGGGGGATTTTGCCATGATTAAAAGAGCAGTCGCGGGACTAATAGACCGTTCCCTTCGTCTCTTTCGTGGCGATCAACGGCTGAGAGGAATGATATGGCAGGTGCCGCGGGAACTTCCGCGGTTCGCCAACAAATATGCTCATCGTAATCCCCTCCTTCTTTCCGCTGTGGGATTGGTAAATGCTAAACTTGGTTTGAAATCGCCGAAATACTCTTTACTATCCCATGATGGTTCTGTGATCAAGGCAGAGGCGTGGGTTACTTTTATATAGTGAATCCACCAATTGCTCTATTTACGGATTGACTGGAAAAGGCTGGACCTAGCTTCTGCTCCCTCGGAAACACTGACCGCTGGGACGTCGGACACCCTCAAATTAAGCTTCACCGTAATCGATGATGAATCCACTGATGACCAAGGCGTCCAACCTCACCAAGCATTCCTACGGTTTTGGCAAGAGGGTGGCGTGGAAGGCATCCAACCAGTAAAAGTGTCTTCTAGCGGGAAGGCAAAATTCGAGCTGGTATATTGATGGCGCCCTAGCATGAACCACAACGTGTTAAATTAATTTATGCACAGAACGTTCGGCGTCCACCACCAGGTATCCCGGCCACTACTCATGGGGCCATTTTAAATGTCGACCTCATTCTTGGCTCATTCACCTACGTATCCTCGACTGTGCCATTATTCAAACTGCGGCTTCCGCCATCGCTACCAGTTGCTCCGCATCCCGAAGAAGTCATATATCACCCGAAACCCGCAATATATCACACCTTCAAGAGCGAACAACGCACCCCGCCACCGACCATTTCTCTTGTATTCGTAGTGATCGCACTGAGTCCATGGGTTTTGCTATTCTCTCTGGTGAGCTTGCAACGAAGCAAAATGAACCATTCCACCTTTTGTTCATTCGTCCTATAATCTGGTCAGCTGTCGAAGCTTCCAATTCATATTGCGCCGTCATCCGCAACGGCGCCCTTCATCGCTTTGTTGGTTGCGTTTGAAGGACTTATCGTGTGGTACTGGGTCGACCTTAGACTCGGGCAGGTCTTGACGTACGGGGCAGTCCTGGCTGTTTTCACGGCTGCTGCGGGAAAGAGGGCACTGGCGTCTATATAAAAATGTACGCTGCGACGTCTTGGAACGAACGAAATGAAGCTTTCGATTCAGAATCCAATCCATTGGCATCGACGCCTGACGAATCGGCAGTGGCTGTATCTTTCGTTTCATTTTCTTGCTGATTTGTCTGCGATGATATCCTCACTGTCCACTGAAATAAGCTTCGCGCACGCGTACGCCATCGTTACCCCTCCGCGCCCTAGCTTCCGAGTTAGGCAACTTTATCGACTCGTGGCGGCCCAGAGGAAGTTTGAATTGCGCTCTATGAGTTCACGCCTTCCTCCTTAAACGTCATCGTTGTTACCCATGATCCATGTTATGATCATTCAGAACATGCTATCCCGCTGGGCTCCACATGGTAGCGGAAAGTCGAGCAAAGGCTGACAGTCGCGATAAATTTTTTTTGCTCGTCAGTAGCCTCGTCCCCTAAGTTGTGCACAGCAAGGCGGGACCACCCTTTCGTTGGATTACCCGGGGGTCCCAAAGACATCAAAATGCAGAATATGGGTAGCCGTATTTTCATTCGAATTCTTGCTACGAGTATAATGGGCACACACGATTTTGAGTTATTCTGGCTACGTAGATGGGCTCGCGGAAGAAGGGTAATTACGAGCTTTGTTCGTTTCGGCTGATAAGTAAAGGATCAAGAATCAAGGTGGAGAGGGGAGGGGTGAGACAGTTATACATGTCGGAAGATAAAGGGGAAAAGAGGTAAACAATAGTACGGATTTTTCAATGTTCAGGTTTGCATGTGAGCGCCTTTTGCGGCCGTCGCCGTGAATTGGTGCCAACGATCATTGAAGCGGACATCTGCGTAGCGAAAGGGATGAGGGATTCTATAGGGCGACAGTGCATGTAAACCATAGCCTACCGAGGGGACGGCCACCATACATATACCCGGAGAACTTGGCAATGGCAGTCTCGCTTTCTTCCGTCGTGGCAAATTGGACAACACCGGCTCCCTTGGATCGGGTCCCTTCAAAGAGGATTTCGGCTTGCTCAACAGAACCTGTAGTTTCGAACAGTTCAACCAGATCTTCGTTCGCAGTTGACCACGGCAGCTGCATGGACAGAGGGAGGTTGCCAGTCAGACTCCGCGGCACCACACATCACCTGGAAAAGACATACATTGCGGACCATGATTTGCTGACTAGGCTCTCCAGATACATAACCACCGAATCCTGGGGCAGGGGCATTGTATCCATGGGGACCAGTGGGAATGCCGACGTTATTGTATCCAGCACCCTCCATACGCAAATGAGAGGCGCCAACGGTTCCATTGGGACCATCATAATCAGCGTAGATGTCGTTGGTGAACTGACGGCCATCACCGCCTCCGAGGCCTCCACCACGTGCGCCGAAGCTACCACGACCGAAGCCACGACCCCCAAGGCCTAGGCCCCGTCCACCAAAGCCACGACCACCGGCGGCCAGTCCTCGACCACGGAGCCCAGATCCACTCAAGCCGGCATAACGGTCCTGCATTATATTCAGTAACGTAAAGGAAGCGAACACTTTCAGTGAGCCATACCTCACGGACTTCCAGGGTTCGTCCATACCAATCGAACCCATGATACATCCCTGATAAACAACTTAGCAGAGGCCTACATGGTATGATAAACTCATCTAGCATACCGATAGCAGCTTGTGCATCCTTGGTAGTCTCGAAGATGACCGTTCCAGAACCTTTTGCACGGCCATCCGGTCCAATATTAATGTCAGCACGAATGATATTTCCAGCAGATCGGAACAAATCCTTAAGATCCTGCCATCCGGCCTGGTACGGAAGCTACGAAATAACAAGAATACGATGAGAGGAAAGATAAACAAGCTGAATAAACCAAGGAAAAATGACGCACATTGCCAACGTAGAGCTGGTTACCTGGCCCGCCAACAGTGGGAAGAGCTCGTGGGCCACCATAAGGATTGCTTCCAAAGCCACCACCATGGGCGAGCGCCATACCAATTTTTCCTGGAACAGGCGTGGCACCAAATCGTGATTCTGCTTCGCGGTCCTATACACCACAGTCAATATATGCATGCATATGCACAGATAAAAACCAGATGAAAATTGACCTCCCGGATAAACACAGGCCGCCCGAGCAATGGCGCCTCACCCAGTTCTTTGATGGCGTTTTGTGCTTCTTCAGGGGTTGAAAATTCAACTATTCTAATAACATAAAACAATCGAGGGCAAGTCAGATAAGGGCAATAAGAGAAGTGCTGTGAGACATACCCGCATCCTTTGGACACTCCATTGGGAGTAACGAGGACTTCGGCGAACAAAACTTCTCCAGCTACAACCCCACCCGATCATTCCAACGAGGGGGAGAAAAAGGCAAGCCGCTCATCAACATTCCGTCCCTCTCTCGAGGCAAACCTCAGCCCCAAAACCACATCAAAAATGAGGGAGAGTCAAG